GCGGGGTCGGGGGCGAGGTTGCAGGGCTGTGGGCGTGGTTGTCGGGGTTAGGGCAGCGGCGGGGGTGGATGGCGAGGTGCGGGGGTCAGTGCTCCCCACTGCGGGGTCCAGGGGCAAAACCCCCACACCAGCTCGGGCCCTGGGATCCCCGCGTGACAACCCTGGTGGTGTGTATTGTTATGGCGGAAGATTCATTCTCATTCACTATGCCCCCGATGTGTGGAGATAGAGGTACACTCCGGTTAACGACCACCTGAAATTTCATAATGGAAAATTCTGAAGTGGTCCGAAACCGCTGAAATGGCCTGAAGACAGTTCAGGTCATTTCATAAGTTTCAGATGGTTTGGAAGACAAGTTTTATGGGGGGTTTTTTTTTTTGCCTATTTTTTTTTTGTTTAACGTTGTTGTGTGTCACTTGAGATGACCTGAAGTGGTTGAAGCTTCTGAAAGGGGTTTCAGGTCCCCTCATCCAACCATTTGGATGGGGGGATCTGAAACCCCTTTTAGAAGTTTCAGCAACTTCATGTCACTTCAGGTCATTTCAACAATATTGGGTGGGGACCTGAAACCCCCGTAATAACCTGAAGTGGCTGAAGCTTTTGAAAGGGGTTTTAGGTAGCCCCATCCAAATGGTTGGATGGTTGGATGGGGGTACTTGAAACCTCTTTCAAAAGCTTCAACCACTTCATGTCATTTCAGGAATTTCAAGTGGGGACCTGAAATAGCAGTAATGACCTAAACTGGTTGAAGCCTCTTAAAGGGGTTTCATGTACCTCATCCAACCATAATGATGGGGGGACCTAAAACCCCTTTCAGAAGCATCAGCCCTTTCAAGTCATTTCATGAATTTTAGGTGGGGACCTGAAACCGCAGTAATGACCTGAAGTGGCTAAAGTCTCTAAAAGGGGTTTTAGGTACCCCCATCCAACCATTTGGATTATGGTACTTGAAACCCCTTTCAGAAGCTTCAGCCACTTCAGGTCATTTCACGAGTTTCAGGTGGGGACCTGAAGCGCTTGAAAACGACATGTAAATAGCAGTTGAAAGTAACCTGTAAGTAGCGTCTCTTGTTAACCATCTCTCTAGAAGTAAGGTGATTGCGGGTTGAAAAAAAAATGAGTTTTTTTCGGTAGAATACGGGAAAATACACCGCCTTTCTCCACGGACGCAGACAAAGGGTGGTCAACGTTGGCTGACTTATTAAAACAGTACGATGACGAACATGAAAAAAAAATAAAAAATAAAAAATAAAAAAATATATAAATAAATAAAAACGAATGTGCAAAAATAGAAAGAATCGTCCTCTACAATATAGAAAGATATGCTAAAAGATTTCCCCATGTTCAAGCGAAAAATTCATTCTTATTTTGCACTATCTTTTTATGTTGTTGTTTTTTTTTTTTTTTTTTTTTAATAAAGGTAAAGAAACTCGGCTAAATTGTTCGTTTGTTGGAAAAGAAAATAGACTCGAAAACGTTATTATCTCCTTCTCTCTAGTATATAAATCAATCAAAAAGGCTATGAGCACCTCGTTAAGAGTGGATGAAAAATTACCCTTTTTTTTTCTCCATCTCCAAGGGAGGTAAAGGACCGCATGCAGAATAAGACGAGAAAAATGTCGGTTCATTTCTTCATTTACCCGCCCCTGAAACACTGAATCAAATTATTCTCCATCCTCTTTGGTAACAATATGTGTTACGGACTCCGCCAGGGCCCGACCCCTGGTCTATTCTGTTGCTGTTTTTGCTACATCCCGTTTTTGGCCTTGCACCTTTTTTCCAAACCCCTCCTTTGGTACCGTTGGATTTTGGACAACTGGCGCCATGCTACAATTCGGGCGTCACTTTCAAATACCGCATTTTTTTGTTTT